AAAAAATACGGTTCAATATTAAGCGATATGAATTGTCTGGCGAAAGTGATTAAATATATTTTATTTGTATTTAACTTGCTGCTCTTGGTAAGTTTTTAAAAATGTTTTATAATGAATAAAATTTTTTATTACAAAACTTAATGAAATTTTAGATAACTTGCATTCTAGATATAACCAAAAATATAAAATAAATGTAAAAATAATTTATTTATAATTAAAATTATTTTTGTACAATAATATTATAACATTATTACATTTTCTATGATATAACTTCGATATATACAATTAAACTATATATTTTTTTTAAACAAATATATAATTAATTTATTATATTATTAAAAGTTATTTTATAAATAATAGTTGTGAAAGTGTTTGAATTTATTGATTTTGTATGCAAAAAGACCGACATGTGTTATTTTATTTTTTTATATAAAAAAATAATATTTGCTTATCATTGATGGGATTATTTAAAAATTTTTTAATTTTTTGTAGAAAGTGTAAATATATATATAATTTTCGTGGCAGAGATAAACATTGCTTCAAACTTGGTTCTCATAAATTTGAACAAAACCAAAATTAAAATATGTTATATAAAATTTTAATTTAATAATTATTTATAATTATTAACTTAGCTTAATAATAAACAATAATAAAATAATAATAATAAAATAATAATCACTATACTATAGAATTATTGACAGCCGAATTTTTCACATAGTAGTTGAACACCAATATATTTAATAAATACTAAAGGTGCTGTTAAAAGTTTTAGGTTTTCACTATAAAAAGATTAAAGTTTCGGTTTTATTCATCATTCTCAATTCTAATACAATTATTATAAATTTTTTTTTAGTACTTCTATATCTTTTTTATAGAAGGATTTATCAAGAATTTCAGAGTAAAATCAATTTTGGCTAGAGCTTCTTCATTACGCCCAAACCTCTTGCTGCGGAAGATCTGCTGGTTATCAGATGTAGACAATACGATAGGGGAGAGCAATTTGTACTGCAATTTGTATAATTTGATCAATACGATAATTAACTTCTGTTACAGTTCATTATCTTGATGAAAGAACACCTTATTCTTCTTATATTCTTTAAATTTCACTTACAAGTTTTGATTGAAGATGTCTTCTCATTTTACTTAGATACCTATGTTGAAATAGCTGTCAAAATCATAAACTTCCTTTTATTTAGATCAAACACGTTACTCACAATACAAAGAGTGTACCAACTTTAATTTTACATAAATTAAAGTTTAAACCTTTTGCTGATATTTTTAAGAGTTCAACAACGTCTTCCAACTTTAATTTATTTACATAAAAATTCGTTTTAAAGAATAAAATGGTTCATAACATTAGTCAGGCTAATGTAAGTGAAATTCGACCTTCGTATACCACTTCGTAGTTAGTCTGGGAAGAGCAAATGTATCCAAACCAATTAAATCAAGAATTGTAACGAAATATTGTTTCTTACCATTTAACAGAGCAACACAATATATTTTTTCAGTTAGTTTCTGGACATATAGATATTGAAAGCAATGAACTAGCATATAGTATAAGAGGATCAGAATAGGTTCCGTAATGGACATAAATAAGACCGATAATTTAATATATACAACGATGCGGAAACTATTTAGCTGTTTATATGGAGTCACCATTGCGTCTACGAATTGTTGAAACTAGTATCGTATGGCTTACATTATTTTAGGTTTCAAAAAGCCTACAGTGCGTGTGATTACTGGTGTGGAAGCCATAAATTGTTTTCCATATATCTCCTTGAAACTACAGCCCAAGTGATTTTATTATCTATAGCGAAGATATACTTATCGGATCTTTTTAACTTAATCTGGAAGCCTGCAAATGGCTTTACAAGAACAATAGATGTACTAAGCGGATATAGTGATACTTTTATTAATACGCCTTCTCTTAAGCTAACTTAACCTAACCTAACTGTGGGCGACTTTTTGTCATTGTAGTATGTAAGACTTCTATTAAATTAAGAATAGTGTCGTTCTAAAATTGTGCAAGCCATTCTTTTCCCTCGTATTCAGAATTTTAAATTTCAAATTCAGAGATCCCATAATACTTAAGCTGTGTAGAAGTTTTTTCAAATTATCATTTGAAGATGCCAATAAATAGTCCGTATTATATATATATATTATTGATTTTAACACGATGTATAATTTCTACATATATTTTAATTCATGAAATAAATTATTTTAAATAATTATCTTCAATGTTTTTATTTCAGATTTTAAGTTTATTTTTCATAATATGGTTTGGAATTGTGTTGGGTTATATGGTGCACGTGGATAATGACGTAGGATACCAAATATTGCCAATAGTTGTCATTGTCATGGCCAGTATATGTTTTATAGCATCTTTCCTTGGTTGCTTTGGCAGCATAAGAAATAATATTTGTCTATTAAAAACTGTAAGTATTTTTAATTATTTAAATTTATATAAAATGTTATTTAATTTTAATTTTCTTTGCAGTACTCTATCGTAATGATCATACTATGCTGTATCGAAGTAATCGTTATTATATTAATATTTGTCACACGTCAACAAATTAGTAAAACGGATGTTAACAGTAAAGATATGGCTAATATAATTGGGGGTATTAGTATAGGTATAGCAGGAATAGAAGCATTGGCTGCTTTATCTGGATTTTATTTAATTAAAAGTATAAGAAATAATCGTATTCAGACATCAGTTGAGGAGTTCCAAAATTATTAGGCCAATTTTTATTTCTTTAGCAACTTTAAAACAATAAATTCAAAGCTTGATTAGAAGATATATTATATTATAATAAATAATCACACAGATAGTTAAATTTGTAATTTTATTCTTGATTTTGTAAGCATTGGAAGTGATATGTATTACAATATAGAGGTACAAATACTATTACTGTATAAATAAAATATTTTATACAATTTTAAAATTATATTATCTGCTTATTTAGTATTTATTATTTAATTTTATCATACATTACTTACAAATAATTTTCGGACAAGAGTTAACACAAGGCCAACGTTAGGCATAGATTTCTGAAAAAAAAACTTAAAAAATGTATTTGATTAAGCATTGTACTCTCTAGACATGGTACGTGAGTTTTTTTATTCTCGAAGTTTAAATTTCCAGGAAAGTCTTTTGAGTTTATTACAGCTGTATAAGAAAATTAACTAAAGGTTATTTTAAAGACCATACATATTTATTATTATGTCAGGTGCAAACAATAACTCTTCATTATACTTCGTTCAGTATTAAACTATTGCATTTTGCTCTATTCGTCATCACTGAACAATTTTTTTTATTATAGTCATATTCAGAAAAATCTTAATCTTTTTCAAATTAGTGTTTAATTTCTCGTCCATCAAATCTTTGTGGAATATTATATACTATATAAGAGAAAGAGATGCTCCTGGTATATGTAAAGATGTTCCTGTATCTTTCTTGTATAGTCTGCATTCATCGGCTTCTTCAGACCAAATCTAACACAACCTACGAAAAACGTGTGGAAGATTGAGTTAAGCGCTGCTGTACTGCACTCCAACGGGTCGATCGATTGATTTATATATATTTAGTGTTTTATTAAATAATTCTAAATACTTTATCAAAAGATTGTATTATGCTCCTGATATTTTTAAGTTAAGTAGAAAAAAATAAACGGCATCTTGATGCTATAGAGAAAGTATGACCGTCTTTCTGTTGTAGAAGTAGAAGTTTACTAACCATGCTCTAAATCGTTGCATAAAATAAATGCAATATAATAATTAATGTAAAAGAATTGTTAATACGATATTGCAAAAATAAAAAAAAAATAAACAAATATGGTTAGTCAAATTATGTTTTTATAACTGAAAAGGAAGTATATTTTTCTTTATGAAATTTATCAAGGTTTTTTCAAATTGTCCGTCAATTTTCCAGAAACCTTTAATTACTGTAAAATTTTTTGATCAATTTTTTCTCTGGTTTTCGTATATCAATATCTTATAAGCGTATAAATATTTTTTAAACATTTTTCATTTACCAGGAACAGTTTTCCCACAGCTCGCCTTTGAAATTAATTACCTATTGTTGTTGACAGGGAAAAAATTATGAAATATATATCTGTTGTATATCTTCAATTATTTGAATAATATGTATAATATAAATAGGTATTATATTAATTATTAAATAAATGTTCAATATAAGTGCAATATTTAATTAATATCATTGGTTTAAAAATTTTTTTTAATTGAAAACATTGCCAATATCAAATAATAAACTTAGAGCTTTTTCATTAATCTGACATATTCAATAAAAGTTTGTGAAACTTTTGACACTTTAGATAATGTCAAATATATATAGCGAAATGATAAAAAAAATGTTTTAGTTAAATTTGTTAAGAGTTTAAGTTACAAAGTCAAATTTTAGTTTAAGGTTTCAGCAGTTCCACACGTAAAGATACTTCATGTATTTCGAATGTTTACTATCGAAATTTAGAATATTAGTATGGGTATGTTTAATGTATAAAAATCTTGTTATTGATAACATGTTTTGGTATAAAACATATTTAATTTTATTAAAAATATTTATATAAATATAATATATTAAACTAAAATTAATTAATTTTTGTCACTGCATACTATTTACAGCACAGACTTTATAATATATTCTATTAATAAAAACAGGTTGTACTTAAACTTTTACCTAAAAATAAAAGGTTCAGTATTTGATAAGTACATTGTGTACCTAACGTTAGCATAGACATAGTATATATTTCTATTACAGTCTTCATACATCTCTACGGCGAATCTCCGGCTAATACCAAGAAGAGATAAACTATATTCAAGGAAGTGAGAAGTGAAAGTGTTGAATATTAAAATGATATCCTTTCTGCTTAGCAATAATATCAAATTCTCATATTATAAAATAAAAATATATATCTATGGTTTTACATGTTGAAGGAGAAGTTGAACTCTATTACGTTCGATTGCACTTATTTGACGTAAAAATTTTTAAAAATGAACAAAAATTGTGAAAAGCAATTACTAATAAAACTGAAATACATTAAATTAAAGCTTCTTGAATTAAGCGATTATGAAAAAAAAACAACAAAAATACACAGATAAATTGTATCCACGGAAAAAAATGCTTGTTATCAATGATTGATACAATCACTAATTAATTGAAAGAGTTAAAATAGAAAATTAATTTTTGTGAACAAGGAAGCTTTTAAAAAGTTCTTCTTTAATTTGTTTACTTCATATCATATATCTGCAATAACTGATAATATTAAACAATTTTTAATTCAAGGACCAATAAATGGACTTCTGTGCCGCATATAAAATGGTTTCCAATATAAATGATCATGTGTGAATCTCGTTAATTTTCTTAAAATAATATTAGAACAGTCAGTGGAGATTATCTTTTTTTACTTATTTTTATAGGCTTTGAACTGATTTTGGATACCTTAATTGAGTAGGCCTTGTGGAATGCCTTAGCATGCATTAAGATTCCCGATGAAATTATTTTTGAAACTTCATAATTTAAAATATGCATTCGTTTTATAAATTAACAAAGTGTAAATGTATCAAGAAAGTATTGAAAAGAAAGCCCTCCATAATAATAATGGAAAAGAGATGGGCATTGTCTCAACTCGTTGTATTTGATATAATTAAAGATAAAGCAAATGAGAACTTACCGACACAAATTTAATGAAGTCCATTTAAGGTTCTAGGAGATTAAAAATATGCGGACTATATTTGTCTGCTAATTAATAGTTTTAAACATATGAAAAATAAACTGTTAATAATTATTAAAATTAAATTTAAAACATTAATCAATCTACTGATAATAATCAACTTTACATAAACAAATAAAAAACAAATATACTTTAATGTTCAAAAACATATGGGATATATCAAAACTTAATCAAATATCAAGGAGTAATAGTGGATATTAGTCTTCTGATAACTAGTCACATCATTACGAAATCATTATCAAATTGCAAACTCCAAATTAATTTTACAAATAAAAGTTGTATCTTGTACATATGATATAGCTCTACAATTTAATATTTTATTATAATTTACTTTAATTTTTTTAAAGTTTAACTTACTTTTCGGACTCTCACTTTCAAATTTATAACATTACTATTAATTTATGTTAATGTTTCTAATTTCAATTTTATTCTCGGAGCTTTCCAATTGACGATATATAGTACAAAAATATTATTAAATAATGATTATAAAACCGGAGACACCTGAGTTATAAAACAAATGTACTGGGGAAGTATTCAAAACTGTTCTATCGATATCCTAAAGAACTGTTAATTCTGATGCAGTTATTCTGCTATTCGTCTATAATCATTTTAATAGTACATCAGTATATAGTTTATAACATATTACCAATCAGAAATGCTAACAGATGACTTTAATGCAAATACCTATATTTAAAAAGTTTTGTTTAGTTTAAATTTCACTCTATATACCATATTAATTCAATTTGTATTCTATATCATTGAATACATTGTAATATTAATTTATAATCGATTATTTTTTTTACTGTCTTTAATTAGATAAGTGGTTTTCTGCAAATTATATTTGGATCCATTATATTGGGTGATTTAGTGGATACATATTCTCCAGATGGTTCGGTACACACAAGAACACTACCCGCTTTAATTGTAGTGTTAGGTTGTTTAATGGTTATAGTTGCAGTTTTTGGTTGTTACACCAGAGATAATGTCCTGTTCACAATACTCGTAAATATAGCTAAATTGTTTTTTTAATAATTGTTTTAATTTTAATAATAATTTAATTTTTTTCTAGTATATAGTTTTTATGTTTATATTATTTTGTTTACAAATTGCTTTGCTTGCTTGGAGTTGCAGTAGCAAAACATCATACCTAAATGCTATATCAGCGCTGTTAACACAAACCTGGAAAGATAATACTTTAGGAAATGGATATCCGATGAATGCGACTCAAATCAATGTAAGTACTCAATATATCTCATTTAATTTCTATTAATTTTTATTAATTAAATATTTCGATTTTTTTTAGTTCGATTGCTGTGGACTAGAAGGTTATACCGATTATGAGTCTAATAATATGGTTGTGCCACCTTCCTGTTGTGGTCATGATACAAATGTCGCATGTCCATTAACCGCCTATCAATATAAAATAGGCTGTGAAGATAGTTTTTTAAATTTCTGGAGTGGAAATTTCGAAATAACTAAATATGGCAGCATTTCTATTATGTTAGTAGAGTTTTTCGCGTTACTTTATTCTGTTTTATTGGTTAATAATTTAAGAAAAACCTTCAGCGATGATTTGTATTTAGTAACTAATTAATACATAATTACCTGTTATAGTTTTTAAGCTGGCCGTCCTTATAAATATACCATACAAAAATATATCATTTACTCATATTGACAAAATAATCAGACTTTTTAATTACTATAAATTATAGCATTAAATAAGAGCAACTAATAGGTTAACATAGACCTTATCTATAGGTTAGCATAATGTAAATATGAATGACCTTAAGTTTCGATAGAAATTTTTAAATTTCTTAATGCAATCATGTTAAGTAATAAAGCTTAATAGTTTTTTAATCATTGTTAGAATATAAAATGTTTGCCGGGGTTGTTTAAAATCAAATATTTATATATTATGTTACAACACATCTCTTCTTTTATGGCAAGAAATGAATTAATAAATAATATCAAGATTATGGTTTAAACTAATATCTGTTTTATTTATTTAAATAAAAAAAATTTTAAATATTTACTCTAAAAATTTCAAAACATCACGTTCCTCAAATGCTTTTATTTTATATATTCTCCTATAATTTCGATTAAGTTACATGACGTACCAATCCAGTGCATAAGACTCAATATTTATTATAAAATTTTTTAATACATATTTTTGAATAATTTTCTCTAACCCCAAAACTGCTGTATACTTAACGATTCCATTGAGAATAACGATTCCTCTGTCTATTCTTCTGTCTAGTTCTCCTACTTCTGCGTTTGGTCAGAATAGTCTACCGACTTATTGCTATGGTTTCCTGCTGTCAGTAAGAATAATAAGCATGTACTGTGTAGCATGTACTAAGTTTGAGTCTTAGTACATGTATTTTTAATAGGCTAACTAATAAGATACAACGATAATCAATGTAGGCCTTATAAACAAAAAGTAAATAATTTAGCGTACATATGTACGAGTTTGCATCTAATAAAAATATTTGAAGAACTGAAATTTATTTTTAATTGCCATATTAGACATAAACTAGATATGATAAAAAAAGATAATAAACATATTTATTATGAGGTGTTGAAAGTTCACCAGTTATCTAAATATATGCAGGCATGTTTTTTTATTTTCTTGGAGTTTTAATATATGAATTTATTTTTTTAATAAAAGTAGTAAAATATATATACTGACAAGATAGATACTGAATATTCTTTATATAAACAGTTTTATTGCATATAAATTATTTATGTATTAAATATATTTTAGCTATATATAGACTAATGCCCTTGCAGCATTTATTTTATAAGGAAACTGTACTATAAGTCAAATATTTCATTATTTTGTCAGTTCTCAATACAGACTGATTTATATAGATAATTTCAATTTACCGTGTTAATTACGAACATATGTATTATCGTTTCTATGATCCCTGACGTCTTCCTTACTTCTTTACAAATATTTTTATAAATTTAACGTGATTACATTTAGCTATTAGTAAAAGTCATGAAGTTTACATTAGCTCTAAGGGAGCTCACTAAATACATAATCAATAAAATATTAATATTAAAAGTTTTTAAAAAAACTTCCATCGATAAAATTTCTTCTAATTTTGTATATTACATATTATTATTTTTTTTTTTTTCGATATAACTGTTGTTTCTGTTGAATGAGTGAATGCAAAAGTATGAATGTATGTAAATATCAAGCTTGTTAAGAAACAAATTTAATATTATTAACTTATTTTAAATTTAAAGTTCTCGTTAATTGTGCATTTAGTTAGTTAAGGTAAGGTAATACCGGCAATCCACTTACGCCGATAGGCCCTCTGTGCTACCGTACAATTAAAAACCTAAGGATTGGAACCACTTAGAACTTAGAGGTCTTGCAGTTCGCCAAGATCTTTGAAAAAGAAAGCCCTTATAGTATTAAGGCGGCGCCGTACATGTGGCAGACAGGCGCAAAGCAGGTGGGAGGCACCATCTCACCACAACTGCGGTAGATATGGTTGAAAGAGAGATTTAGTTTCCTCGCATGGTTACCTAAAATACAATGATTTATAAGAAACCCTACCACAAGTCTGAAATCTCTATGGAGCATCTCAATGAGAGAGTTTTTTCATTGGAACGTGGCCAAACTGCATAGAGATGCTTGCATATCGGTGAGTCTTCCCATTTTTTATTAAAAAGTTTGGCACAGGAAAAGGTCAGTGCCAATTGGTGTGTCAATGATATGCCCAGATTATGTAGGTGTTCCGAGTGGTTTTCTCGGAACAGCACTCCGTCTGCTTTGTAATTGCCAAAAATATCCCTAACACCGGGAACCGAGATTAAAGAAATATTGAACAGCGTCGACATTTCATTTAGAGATGTGTACCAGTCAAAGATTGTTTTAGATGAAAATTGGACTAAGTATGTATATATTCCTATCAAGTATATCATCTACATCTATCTTCTGTTTTAACTTGGAATATCAATGATGCGTAAAGTTTCTTCAATAGATTGTAGATGGTTCTAATATCAGTTTGACGAAACTGCTTTGTTATTTGAAAAATTTTTGTTTGCTCTTTATCCGAAAAGCTGGTTTAAATAATATTATAGGTCAGGTTAGAATAGGTTAATCTAATTGACTAAACTGCTAATATTTTATATCAGTAATTTCTGCGTTCCCATAATGGAGTTCCCATAATGGTTATTTCTGAGATAAAGCAAAGTTGAATCCAGACCCAGCAAACCTTGAATCCAGAACTACTATAAAAACAAAAAATTGTAATAATTATACTTATTTGTTATTGAAATATTTTTTCAAATAGTATTATTTATCATATTTTTTCAAAAATGTCTTGGAGTTATAATAAAAATTTTAAGTTGTCTTCAAAGACTTATTCAAAGAATCAAAAAAGTTATTATAAATTAATGTGATCTTTATAAAAAGAAAAGTATTGGTTCCATCCGTGTATAATTGTATCTGATCATTTTAAAGATTAATATTTCTAAAATCATATCATAAATAGAGTTACTTCTTAAAAGCCGCAGTATAGGAAAAAAAAATAAATAGATTTTGGACAAAATATATTAATGATCATTTTTATAAATGAAAAAAAATTTGCCCTACTCCTCTGTGTATAAGAGCTTTTTTAAAGTTTTTTTCGTTCTCATAAAGATAAAATTGATAAGGAAAGTAACTAAAAAATGAGTTCAATACATCAATTTCAGGTATTCAGTTCAGTAATAATTGAACCTTGAAAAAGTAGGTTTGTGTATCGACAGGAAAATTTCCAATAAAGGTTTTAATAAAAGTATCTCAAATTTAAGTAAATTTTTTAAAAATTAATTTGCCGAAATAAAAAAATTATTTTTGTTTGATCCAAAATAAAATTTTTATAAACAGTAAAAATGGACTGCGGTGGGGTATTCGTTAAATACGTGCTTTTCATATTCAACATACTTTTTGTGGTGAGTAACTAAGTTTAATTCTGGATACTTCCGTGGTTGCGAAAGGCAGTTAGTTTACAGATACTATGTTATATAATATCGCACTCTAACCAAAATTAAACAATTGCTTCAATTGAAGAGTTTTTATTAAATTTTATTTAAGTTTTTATGTAAAAAAGTTTGCAAAAGTCTCAACTAAAAATGTGTGTTATCATTAGGCGTATGTAGAAATCTGTTTATTCCATTTTTTATTGATAGATACTAATACTTTTGTACGCAAACTTATCTTATCTTTGCCTTAATGTTAATTGAAAATGTTTATTTTTGATAAAAAAATGTTGTTAGTGTAAACAAATAATTTTCAGTTAGTAGAAATGGCAATTTCTATTGACTAATGTGTTATGTGACTAATACTCATTATTAATACTAGTCAAATTACTCGTACATATTTCCCAGCTGACGTCATAGAACTTCATGTCGGAAGATATATTTATTTGTTATTAGTGCAATTAATTCTTCGAATTAAAACGGAATTTCTTTGTAATTTTTTTTGATCAATGCGACAAAAATAGGTTCAAGTAGTAATAAAACCATGAATAGGAGTCATTGCACTTAAATATTACTTTCGTTTTTCTCTTTTCAATTGTATCTAATAGCACTTTTGATCAGTTTTTTTTATTAAAATTTAAACAAAAAATAAATTACATTTTGTTTAACTTTCTTTTTTAATCAAATTCTTGATTCATTTCTTTGATTTACTAGACTTTGATTTTAGTAAATCAAAGTCTTTACGTTAACAGTCTTCATTGACTCAAGCTTGTGATGCTTAATAACGATCAATTATAAATAAAATTATAATTGTCTTTTTAAGTTATATTTGTATTATAGATATTATAAATTTATATTATTATAGATTAATATTATAGATTTATTAGAACAATAAAGGATCTACGTTGTGGGAAATTACTCATATTTTCGACTCCCATTCATGCCTTCTGTCCCTTTTTCTTTAGTCAAAAAGAACGGCGATCATCCCTTTTCAAAGTCTGATTTACAATTCTTTTAAAAACATGAAATCTATCTAAAAATTCATATCAGAATATTTTGATCTTCACATTTCATTTAACAAATTCTACAGATTCCATGCAAATAATAATTTACATAATTACATAATTTACCCTATTTTATCTATTTTATGAGTACTTCATATTATATCCAACCGAAATTTATATCTTCATTAATTTTCAATTTTCTGGTCCAGTTCAGCCTGTACTTTCTTGTCACTGAGGTACTCTAATAATATTTTTGTTATATCCATGTTATTAAAAAAAATCAATAATCTTTGAACTCTGGGAATAATAACATTAAAGTCAAATTTTGATTTAAATATCTATTTATAGGTTATAATCTATGATCTTCCTCATTTTTTTAGTCATATCCTGTTTCTAGTCAGCTTTACTTTACGGTATATTTAGATTCGATTAACCGAGGTTCTCTATTCGTTAATTTAGTTGTTAATATTATTTTCTCTCCGGCAATACCAGAGAAGACGGATTATTGCAGTTTTATGGCGATAGGAAAAGAATATATATTTCTACCATTATTTAATATTATGTTGTTTTAGTTACAATAAATTCTCCCGTTGTTAAAAATTCTGTTGATGTCATCTTCTTTGCGATATTTAGAGCTCTAACGAGTATTGTAAGCGGCAATTTACCGTCAATGACAAGTGGGTCTGAGATATATACCTAGTCCCTCCAGATTTTCTCTTACTCAAAGAATAACGAAGGTATTTTACTCGAGTTGTGATTGACTAGCCTGAGCATAGTTCCATATCGACCTGTGATGCAATATTCCAAAAGAAGGAATATCATTTTGGATATATGGTATTCATTTTATTCGATTATTCATAGCTTTTATCACACGTATTCAGTGCATAAATAAAAAAACAACTGAACAATCATTAAATTAACTTTTATTCTACTTTGCTTTTTATCTACTACCTAATTAAATACTTTTTATTCACTTCTATACTTTAATTTATATGATTCGAACATAAATTTAAATAGTCTGCCACAGTTCTGCGGGGAGAAAGAGAGAGAGAGAGTTGTGCAGATTATAAGAAAGACTGTCATCTTAGCTGTTGTCAATATTTTTAATCGTCAAAAATTACTAAATCTTTTCGTAGGATCAACATTCCGTTAATGTACGTCTGTTTTTATATGGGAATACTAGGAAATCAATACGTATATTAATATGTATTTATATTTCATATTTCCCATACTATTACAACTGTTGCTCAGATATGAAATGGAGTGATGACATCCAGTTTAATATGACTCGTAGACATATTACCTTCGTGGTGGGCTTGACATAATATTTTTCCTGCTCAATGTTGGCAATATTAATAAATAATTTTATCTGTCACATAACATAAATAACAGTATTGAATACAGCACGACTGATAAATATGTATATTTCTTTAAATGCGATAAGAAGTGTTTGAGTGTTATTTAGGTAATATATTATTTAGAAATTATTTGCAAAAACACATTTGCAATAAAAACAATGTCTCTCCTCAAGTTTCATAACTAATAAAGTTAAATATTCACTTGTAAAAATAATTTTAATTTCATTCGTATATATGGGGTTTACTTATTTGGGTATTCAGATTCAGTATTTTTTGGTTCCTGTGCACTTTAGGTACAATGTTTTTTCACTCAACATTATTCATAAATTTTGGAAAAATATGAAAAGAGAGTTAAATAATGGAATATATTTATACTAAAGTGTTACACATACACTTATTATATCGATGATGAGTAAGAATTGCTTTAATATATCAATTCATGAACTTTGTTCTATTAGAGTTTTTAATTGCAATACAATATACAATCGAGTTATTCATATTTTGATATTAAAAGTTTTCGCATGGTAAAGGAGCAAGTTCAAAAGAGGAGGGGTTAACATATATATGAAAGCTGTAGATTGTGATATTTTTAATAATTCTATATCAAGAATGAATTGGTAAAATTACTAAAGATTACATATTCATATCTAAACAGGTTTTATTAAGATACAAAAATATTTTTAATTAAAGATATAATTCCAAATTATTTTCTTTGAAACTAAAACTAAAAATTTTTTTTGGATGTAAAAGCTACTTGAAGCTCTATAAGTTCAAGCATTTTTTAAAGATTTTAAAGCGTATTTTTAGACACGAACTTAGCGGAATTTAAGCGAAGAGCTATTTTCAAAAAACCATTTTTGCTTTATTAAATTCGAATTTATATAAAAGCATTCATTGACTCGGAATCTATTCGTTTGCTTATTATTCAAATCTTTCCATATTTATCTGAATAAAACAGTTCCTTGTAAGTAACGTGGTAAGTCACACAATAGCAAAGTTAAAGTAAATATTTGGCTAAAAATTAGATGCCTAGACTGTTTTTACCTTTTTGAGTTTTCGGTTGATTTGAACTCTTTGACTATTATTATTTCCTTTTTGATACATGTAAAAATTGTCACTTATTATGGTTGCATTCTTAATCCGATTAATTGCTTATACCTTTTACAAGCTATATAATATTTATGCTATATTATTATTTCTATAGTAAAGATTGTGTTAAAAATTACATGTATATAAACCATTTTTTATTTTTTAGGTATGTGGAATTTTATTAATAGTTTTTGGATCAATAATGCTTTCGCATATAGGCGAATTCGATGGTTTTGAACAGACTTTCCAAGCACATAGTGTACCTATAGTGATTGTGGTACTTGGATGTGTTGTCTTCATTATAGCATTTTTGGGTTGCTGTGGTGCTATACGTGAGAACTCATGTTGTACAATGACGGTAAGTATTAATGTATTATAGTAATGTCCAATTTTATAATATAAATTATTTATTTTTAGTATTCCGTCTTTATGTTTGTCTTGTTCTTATGTCAATTGGCTTTGATAATTTATGTGTGGTGTGAACGTGAGAAATTCTTAGCAGATATGAAAGTAGTTGTGTCAAAAATATGGGAACAACGTCAAACCGATCAGAAAGTCATGGATGCTTTGCAATTGAGCGTAGGTGTCATAAAGTTTGAATTTTATTTTTATTATAGTTAATTTCTTACAGTTCAACTGCTGCGGAAAGAATACCTTCTTGGATTATTATAATGAAACTATACCAAAATCATGTTGTGGACCTAATGCTACATCTTGCAGCAAAGTGGAAGCTATGCTTAAACCTGGTTGTACCACTGCCTTTGAGAACTTCTGGAAGAAGAATATAGATATCATACGATATGCGGGTCTTGGAGTTGCTGCTGTTGAAGTAAATAACTTTTATACACTTCTAATGTTTCCTTATTATTTACGTATTGCTTTTATTTTTCAGCTCATTGCATTTATATTCGCCTGCTGTTTAGCAAATCAAGTTCGTAATAATATTAGAAGATCCAATTACTAAATTTTCATTCATATTGATATCGAAAATATTTTCTAAACGAACAATTATTTTATTTATTCATAATTATTGTTTAAATTTACTAAATTACTAAAGTTGCTATATCATAATTCATAAAATATTAAAATTGTATATTTAAACGTGCTGACTTAAGTGGATTCTTCATATATGTATAAAGAGTATAAATATACAATTTTCAAATAAAATAAATCTTTTTCTCAAATAAATAACAACAAAAAATTTTGATAAAAATTTCAATTTTTACAATAATATTTTATTTATTTTTATTAATTTTTCTAAAAACCAATTACTAATGGCTTTTTCTTTAATGGTACGTTACAAAAATATAAAATATCATATGAAATTTTTTTTTTATGACTAATAAAGTACTATCTAGAAAGTATTCCATTGATAGTAGAACTGAGTATTTTTATTCCGAACAAGTTTCCAAAGAGAGTTTCTATCTTCTATTAATTAAGTTATTTATTAAGTACTTATTGTGATAAGAGTTCACATGATCATTATTCGTTATAAAAAGTTGTTAAATACATTAAAAAAGTATATTATTTTTTATAACACAACATCTCAAGGGTTTACATTACCACTTACCTAAGCTGACTTTGTCATATAGAAATAGGCACAACAAAGTTTGAACTTTTACCAAAACTTAGCGTTATTTAATACCTTTCCCTGAATACAGTGCAAAAAATAATACGTTGTCGATAATTTTTTGGTACAAAAATAGCAAAATGACAGATTTTGAAAATATTATATTCCTAGAGCCAAGTTAACAACGTTGCTGTGAAAATTGGGTTGTTATATATGAAGAAATTTTAAAAAATGATTTATTTGTTGAACTTATTCAGAGATATTTAAAATTTGAGTTGAAATATTGAAATGATATTTATTTATTCTATTTCTTGAGCATATTTTTTATACTTTGGAAATTGAAATTGTTTATAGAGCTCAAATTTAGCAAAATTGAACTACTCTATCTTTGAGTTCTTTATTACTAATGATAGCTCAATTAATATTTGCGTGCAAATTGGTACCGTTTCTAGATTTTTCTAAAAATAAACTTTTTCAAATAATCTATATTAGCTAAATTTTTTTTCTATAAATTTAAAAATAAGCATATAATTTTTATATACAATTGGAAAGATTTTTCAAAATTCTGTAAATATCACGCATTTTTATTCAGTTTGTTTATTTAAAAAAAAAAGCCATAGATTTTTCAATATATATTAATATATAACAACCCAGATTTTCATAATAACGTCTCCAGCTGATTGCTCATCAATATATTAAAAAAAAGTAAAAACTGCCCGAAACGATATTGTAAATGTTTGACGTTTGGAAATCAACTTTATCATATTTCGTTCACTAATGTTCGTAATGTAAACATAGTATAAGCATAATAAATTCCTTTTAAATGTAGGCACAAATAAAACATATTTAAGTTGTGGTAAAGGTAGGAAATTAACAATTAAAATATGAGTCTCTATAATAAAACATGTGTTTTGGTCAAGGGCAGAGAGACAGAGAGAGAGAGAGAGAGAGAGAGAGAGAGCACCAAATTGCCGTACCCATTCGTTATATGACTGTAATACAGATATTTTTTAAATCTTCAGAAAAATTAAAAATTCTTCTATAACTTTATATCGTGAAATTTGATGTTTTAGGTTTTATTGACTAAGATATAAAAAACGATTTCACAATGTAACTATCACAGCACAAAAGAGAATAAAAATCGTTAGTACTTCGAAAAATTTCGTTGATTTCGTTAAATTTTAATATGTAATAAATTTTAAGTAATATACATTCATACACAAAGCCAACCAAAAAAAGTTGTATTAACGAAAGTTTCCTTTATTAATTTTAATTTTTGTATGCATGCATTGTATTTAAATAATAAATCCTTATTAATTAAATTATATGTATTTTAAAATATATAAAATATTGTGTAGATCATATGTAGTATTATATTAATAACATGTGTAATTAAGTTTTGTTTAAAAAAGTAGTGTTACTTTTCATGCGTGCAACCCTGTTTCATTTTCATTCTCACATATTCAACTTCACTTCAACTAATATTGAAAGTGGTTTCTGCTTGAACAAAACAATTTTCGTTTTCAGTTCGTTTTTGTACGCAGTTCGTATCAGTTGTTGGACGGTTCGTTCAGGCGCGTTGATTAAAAGTTTTTAAACAAATTTTGAATTTAAAAGGTAAGAAAAAAAATTAATTAAGAGACTAAACTATTTTTTTTTTGAAACTATAATGTGGTACAAAATTATTTATAAAGTACAGATTTTATAAAATAACCTAAAAGCGAAATGTAAATTACAATCTCTGTCAAGGATGTATGGGAGTCATGCTTAAGTGCCGTTAATTGCAATAGAACATAAATGCAAAAAAAAAACTCTTCCGAAGAATAAAAAAAAATAAAATTGTGCATAAATATGTGTGAAAATTAAGAAAATAAAAAATAACAAAGGAAACAGTAATTTAAGTTTTTTTGTTTTAATTTTTATTGTCTGCCTGCAAGCAAGTGTCAATGAACGTGTGAGTGGAAGCTGGGAAAATACGACAAAACCTTTGAAAAACAAATATTGCGTTTTAAATATAATAAGAAAATCGTGCAACATGAATTGAAAATCTAGAAAACAATTATTTTTATTTAAAAATAAAGTGGTTTTTTATAATTAGATATGTATGTAATTGACTACTAAAAGGAATTTGATTAAATAGTGTATTTAATGTTTTTTTGCGCTAAATGATTTCCTACATACTTTTCAGTTTGAATTTGCTTCCAAAACGATTTAAAAATTTTTTAAATTGATTTTTCTTATAGAAGACTCAAGCTGGTGCTGAAATATAAAAGAACATCTGCCCTTAAAATTATTTCATGAAAACATCAATTTCACAAAAACAATTTTATTGTCTTAAGTTATATTTCTTTACCTGAGCAATGCTAAGAATATACAGAAACAAAAAAGTAAAAATACAAAAATCAATTTTAAAACTATAAAAATTTTGTCGTAAATTTTTTTATTATTCACGTTTAATTTTCATTTTTTATTGCTCTTATATTAATAAATATTTATTTAAATAATTCTATTTTAATTTTAATAATTTTATTTTAATAATTTTATTGTTTTTCAATTAAATTATTTCCGCTAAAAACGGTTGTGTGTTGAAATAAAATAAAAAAAAAAATATTTAGCATCCTTGCTTATCTCATTCCCCTTTTCGCTTTTATAACAACAAAAATCCATAATTTTGTTGCTAAACTTGTTTTTGTTTGTTGATTGTTGACAGCGAAATAGAACACTATTGAGTTTCAATTTTTCGTATGTCAATATGTATGGCAAAATGCGTTCTTCTCATTAGCATTCATTCACTTTTTGTAAAATTATTTCGCTTTAATCCAGAAAAAATCATATGATGTGACCTTGTCCTGTTATTGCATAATTGTACTAATGAGAAATGTATCTGTTTATTAAATGTCTGACTAATCCCCATATCAAAAGACAAGTATAAATATACTTAGAAAAGATAAGAACAGCATGGAAAATCTTATGCGATGAACACTGGGAAGAAGTGATTTACAAGGTACTTGAATTTCATGTGCCCGTGTGGAACGCAATAAGAATGAGTCATTTAAGTAAACAACTTGAGGATTTAATTGGTTTATGTTCTACAAGCTTAACAAAAAAAAAACAATAATTCATGCATGGCTTCCGTATTTTTCAATTAGCAGATTAAATTTTTATTAAATTTCCTTTGCTAAGTGCACTGGATGAGATTTAAATTATCTCGCGCGTATAAACTAGAAGAGATAATAAAAGCAATCAATATTTATTTTATTAATAATGAATAACAATTGTATTAATTCTACGTATAATCAAAATTCTACATATTGAATTCCTATTTAATCTTATTTAAAAGATTTAAAATTAAATAAAAATAAAAAATTAAAGTAAAAAATGTATTTGATTCTGTGGATGCTCATATATATTACATATATTACACAGTTTAAAAACAAATGCAATCTATTATATATGTATTTCACAAAGGTAATACACTTTTATAAATTCACCTAAATGATTCAATATAATTTTTAAACGGAACACTTATTACTGTGAAATGTACTCACAGTTATGTTTAGGTACTGTATTCTCCTAGTTTTATAAACTATTAATCGAAAAAACGCTCTAACATATATAGGTATAATTTAACTAGTTTTTAATGTTTTAATGGCTTAGATGAATCTAGCTCGCTAGGTATTAAGTCTATTTTTTTCTCTCTCCTGACTACTGAACTAAAATTTTCACAATGCTTCTCCATACATTTCTAAGAGGTGGTTTAGTAGGTTCAAATGTGAAGAGAAAACAAAATTTAGTCAAATTAGTATGCTTTGCATATTTACCCGGATTAACTCTCTTCTTCTCGCTTTGCAAGGTTCTTGCACACGGCTTACGATTAAACTACAGTAACTTTTCAAAAATTAAGTTGAGCCAATGGTTACTCATATATGACAGTCGTTAGTAGCGACAGACTAGTTTGGTTCTGCGTTGGGGATATATATGACCTCACATTATTGCTAAGATAAACTATTGAGAATATTCTGGACACAATGCTCTGTTTAGTTGATTACTTAAATTTAATATTGCCTTATTGTTCGCCCTGCCTTATGGAATCACATTAATATGGTTTGTTTAGCGAAAATCTCCAATTTTGTTACAACACATATATAATATTAACTATGTTTTATTTTAATCCTATATGCATTTGTGCTTAAAAAGGAATGCTTGCCATAATGCGGAACGTGGGAAAAAAATGGGTTTTAATAGAATATAAACATTTTAAGCAGTTGTTGGAGAACATTGAAAGAAGCTTCAGCTTATTTTGCTTTGGCAGAATATCGTGAAAATATATGCAATGAACATTCTGTTTTATTTAATCTTAATGATAATGACAGAACAGTTCATGTTGAGTTTTTCTGCGATGACTGATCTAAGATCTGGGTACCGCCCCGTGCGGCTAGAGATTATTCTGAGATTAGTTAGTGCTAAGTAGGGTAGGGTGCTCACTAATTATTGCTATATTCAGACATCAAACATTTTGATTTTGAGATCAATTAGATGAAGATATTTGCGAGTTGTTCACACAACTCTAAAAAGCATATATTGTTGACATTTTAAAACTTCCAATGTAGTTTTCACAACTGTACCGGTTTTATAAATTTCTTATGTTACTAAAAATATATGCCATTATTTCATTATTGAATATCAATTCCATCTTTGCTTCATATATATCTTCATTTAAAATAAATGAATTAAAATAACATCACTAATTTTTGAGACTTTATGCAAATTTATATGGAGAATACTGTATTAAGATTTTTAATAAAAGAAGCTGTGTCTGAGCAAAGTAGAACAAATGTTGATTAATTTTTTTAGAAATATGTAAACATTGTTATAAAAATGAGGCATATTCTTTTCCATATTTTTATTATATTATGTTATTAAATGTTATGTGAATTTTTTTTTACTAATTTTTATGTGCTGACCATAAGTATTTCTTCAGCCAAAATTAATAATCAACATCTAAAAATATTTCTCGCTTCACATTTCTTGTGGATCCCTTGTTAGTTACCTTGAAACTTTTTATATAATTATGCAAATTCAGTTGACTGGTTTTAAAGTTCATTTCACAAGAAATATTAAATTACAAATAGAAATTCAATATTTCTGAAATTTTCATTAAATGAAGATATGAACTGGATAGCACATAAATTTATTTCATTCATTTTAAGTTCTTGTAAATTACTTTAAATTTATATGTATTTTTGTTTTTCAGCAATTAAGGATTAAATTAATAAGATGGATTGTGGAACATCTACCGTTAAATATATTCTATTTATATTCAATACAATAGTGTCGGTAAGTAAATTAATTTAATTTAATGCATTAAATCGGTTACACATATTTTTTGGTTATTTTTGAGATACATACAAACTAAGAACTCAAATTTAAGTTAAACAAATTTATTTAAGATCTAAGTAGCATTATATAGATTGTGGAAAATTAGTTTAATCTATTGTTCTGAAATGTGTACAAATAGATGTGCAATATATTACTCAGGCGAGCAGACAAGAGGTATAAGCTTTAACTCCTTAACCCCCAAAAACCAATCATAGAATTTATTTATACATATGTATATTTATTATTAATGCATTATGACTGTTTAATAAGATAAAATTTTTTTAAAGTTACTTCAATTACCTAAAAAAAGTAATCAAATTAAATTTCTTAGATAAATACAATTTTTGCAGTCAGTTCATATGGGAGCTAAACCTGTCATATAGATTACCATTTTTTTTCTATTTCTTACTCTTATTTTTCAGTTAATGTGTTGAATTATAGGACCTCATTTATACCAGAAATCTGTCTATTGTTTGAACTGACACTTTATTTATTTCCCTGAACACTGCCCATATAAATTGATCGGCCTATTGTGGTTTTTGCCTTTTATAACATATATGTTTTTATCGTATTACCATTATTATCTAATATATATTTTATTTAAACGTTTTCTCTGATTGGATCATATATTTTTTATAAGATTTTCATTATAAAAATGACCAAATTGTTCGTGCCTACTTTTGTTAGCTTCTAGATTTCGCATCTTTTGGTAATAACGGATCTAATAAGGTTTTTGTATACTACCGTATTTGCTTTTATATTACTTTGCGTGAATAAAATAATATCTTAAATCGGCTTATACTTTATTATTTAAATCATTGAATCGCTGACTTTGTGCTCATTATACACTGGCCCTATCACTGAAGATACTGGATTCTTCGAAACAGTGTTTACCAATGATTATAGAATTAGTAGTTTTTTATCTTGCGTTATGTGCTTGTATTTCGTTTCTGTTTTTTATATTATTCTTCTCGTGGTTTTAAAATAAACAAATAATTTAATCATATTTTTATTTAAAAAAAATATAGATAACCGGTTTTGTTAATATTATTGTCAATATTTATAAATACATGCAATACATTTGCCAATTATTTCCATTTAAATTGCTTTGGAAATATTTTAAATATATATGTATATGTGCAAATACATAGATATGATGCAATTATATGTATCTATGTACTTTACCAATAATCGAGAATAATTTATTCTTAATGCTATTTGAAAATTCCCATTGCGCATACTACTCTTATGAAACCCCTAACCGTAATTACGTCTAATGAATTTATAAAGAAAAAAATCATGAAGCAATCAAGACGAGAAAAACTAAATAAAAGTTTTAAGAAATTTCGAAAAAAATGTTAAATGAATTTTATACGAAATACTAGAAGAAACTGTTTTATAAGAAAGAGGCAAATTAGATGGCTTAGGGTTGATAAAAAAATTTATGTTCACACAAGTAGGTACGCTTGTTGTCCAACATGTAGGGCAACCGGTAAGCTGTCGTCAAACCACTTGTGGCGTAATTTCACACGCTTTAGCGGCTTTTTTTGGTATTTTTATTTTATGTTCTGTCTTTTTAGATTATAAATTCTGAATCAACTTTCAGATTTTAGTAGTTTTTAGGACACAAATCACTCTGCAACATTTTTGTGTATGACTAGAATGATTTAGGGTTGCGTGTTCTATGTAAATATTTTGTAGAAATTATTTTTTGGTCGTAACATAAAGTTCTTTTTAGGTTAGGACGGCGGTGCTAACCTAAAAGTTGGGTTCCAACTTGTTTAGATTGCCGATTTTTAATATTTTTTTTTGGCTAAGTTAATCTATATAGGTATTTTTTTGTTAATTTATTGCTATAGAAGAACTTTTCATTTTTATATTTCATATATGTATGTAGTTATTCAAGCAAAAATGTGTCTTGATATTTTTATTAAACTTCAAACTTTTATTAAATTAAAAACTACTTTAGTCAAAAATAATATTTAGTCTTTATAAATTTATGTTTAACTTTAACTTTGCAAACTTATCAAACTTATTTAGCAACTCCTATTCTTTTCTCTCTTCTCTTATCTTATTTCTTTCTTTTCTTCTTATCTTGCTTTCATTTCAATCTGCTTTTATTTCACTGCCTTATCTCCCCTATTACACTACTTTATCCACATGTACATTTTTATATGTGTATATTTTTATATGTGTATATTTTTATATGAGTATATTTTTATAAGTATATATTTTTATATGTGTATATTTTTATATGCGTATATTTTTATATATGTATATTTTTATATATGTATATTTTTATATATGTATATTTTTATATATGTATATTTTTATATGTGTATATTTTTATATGTGTATATTTTTATAAATGTATATTTTTATATATCTATTTCTATATATATTTTTATATAATATAGAATAAAGTAAAATTTAATAATATAATATATACTATATAATACTTTAAAAATACTAATTTTTACTGATTATTGATTTTTATTATTTTTTTGTTGAGAAAATAATTAGGTGTTAAAAATATTAATTATTATTAACTATTAATTTTATATATATTGTTAAGAAATGACTTGAGTGTTTTGTTTATACATTTTTTATGTTAAATAATATATTTATTACTCAATCCCATAAAAATCCGGTTTAATTTAATTAGATGGGAAATTGGTTTCACATGTTTCTGTAGATTATACCAAAACCCGTCTTTCAACAAGAGACTGATACGCACTTCAGAAATATTTTGTCTGTGTACTTTTGTTGTCCAGACAACTTCATAAAACAAAATAAAACTTCATAAAATTACTGACATACAATACAATACTGTTTAGAATTTTTACTGAAAGTAGTAGAGAAGCGACTATATTTATATATAAAAAATGTTTGAATTTCAAGTTATATACTTTTATCGTATTTAGGTATTTATTTACACTTCATACATTTATATAGCAAACCATGAATTTCCGTTTATTTATTATTTTTGCATTTTCTTCAAATTTGATAAAGGGTATATTTTTTGTATTCCAGTGTTTAAGTTAATATTTATTTTATTTTACATTTAATCTCTCAAACACTTTTACTTTTGTAGACGTTCGCATTGCAGTTTCGTAATTTGAGCCCCATATTCCGTCCAACACTCTAGTTTTATTTTATTTGTTTATAGTAAACTAAAATTTTTATAAACATTACAATTTCAATAGTTAAATCCATTGCAGTATCTGCTGAGTTCTAAGTTTATTGAAAACTTAACGATAGTTTTGTTTATATAAAAAAATAACGCTGGAATGAATTTTAATATTGCCCAGCAAAGTATCTAACTAGCTTAAGCGGCTTCTTTAGTCGAGCTCTTCTTTTTGTTTTATTATTAAAGAATACTACAATTTCAAAGATTTTGTTTATATCTAAATCTTTTTGTTTGGAAATGTACATTTTTGTGATTGTGTTGAAGTATTCGCTTATTGTCTTTGCCTGTCTACCCATGATAATATATTGTATTTGAGCTGAGTTGCTCGCATTTGGGCGTTAAAAATTTTCAAGAGTAGCTGGATGACATCATCGCAACTTTAAACTCAGAATTAGCTTTTAAATCAGCAAAAAAAAAATAAATAAATAAAAGAAAAAAATCACAAAAATATTTTACACATCACAGTTTTTCTTTAATAAGAAACCAATTAGAATATCAAATGACTCTTATTTTTACTAGGAACACTATAATGAAATTTTGTGGTGCAATGAAATTTGCTGACTTTGACTGGGTTTAAAAGTGGGATTTTGTAGTTTTCAATACTTTATATTGAGGAAAAAAACAGACAAAAAAAAATTGGAGAAAACATTTTGTGGGGTCCTAAATACACTGGATTAATTTTGGGGGATCAATATTGTGGATTAACTTTTACTTGAGAACACAATAGATGAGTGATCATGTTAGGTATGTGTGTATAAAAGCATAGACCATAAAGCATAGATGCGAAAAAGTGTTATAAAACCCGCTTCAATCTGCTGCATTATTCTAGTAGGCCCAAGCACTACTAGTATGTTTAAGAAAGCACTGAATAACTCCAATAAATCGTTCCCTTATTGTGTTATTGTATGGAGATAGTGTGTTTAAATATTAGGTATATTTACGTTTAATCGTAATAGTAATAGTCTTTCGTAACAGTGTTAATAAATTTTTTATTTTTTAATTTAGAATTTATAATTAAATAATAAAGTAGTATAAAATGCATTTCAATATGCAATATTTTCAGTATTCATGGCTAGCAAAATGCTTCATACATTTCGCGTCAATATTTAATTTTCTATTAATAATTTTAACCTAAATAAAATGATTAAAAAATAAATAGTGAAGTACATATTATTCATTATTATTTTTGTACACATATGCATATGTATGTGGAGTATGAGGAGTAAATATACATATTTTTATAGACGATTCATTGTGTATTTTGGTGATTCATGACTCAAAACGTGTTAAAATGTTCGTAACTTTTAGTGTTAAGTTTTAATGTTAAAAAAGTTGCTCATATAATTTTATTTATAAAAATTAAATCACACACAAAAAATTAAATATCAAGATCAAAGTAGAGATTGAAAACTTCTTAACTTTATAATTTTTTTTTTATTGATTTTATTTATTTTCATATATTATTCATGTTTCTATATATAAAAATATGTATAATGTATTCTTAATTCTATTGAAACATTTTCAAAAAATTTACTATTTTATATAAATGATGGATGTGTAAAGCTTTTTTTTTTAAATTTTATAAAGTTGAATATTTATGAAGCTTTATTTCTGTTCATTTAAGTATCAAATTTAAAATTTGCGTGTATTTTTCTTATATAATTTTTTTAAATTAAGATTTGTTTTTTAAATTAAATTTTTTTTAAATTAGATTTTATTTATAATTAATTTTTTTTTTTAATTCAATATTTTTTGAAATTGAAATTTT